TAATCCAAAAAGTGAGATCTTTACCTTTTTTAAAAAGGTGAAGCCAGGAAACAAAACGGTTGTTGAGAGTGAAGGCAGCTCTTCTTTTTTTTGATAGGACAACAGTTCTGATCAGGAAATAATAACAGCCACAGTGCATATGGAAGCATCCAAAAAGATTGGTGCCAACCAGATTACTGTCATCTAGTACACTTACGGTATTTATTCAGTATTCAGTATACTTAGGGATACATTTAGTAAGCACTAGAAAGTATTAGTATCATTGCACAAGGCTCCATCTAGAATACTGTCTGCAGTTCTGGTCACCAGCATTTGAAACAGATTAATTTAATCTGGACAGGAACAAAGAAAGGCCACTGAAATGGTCATGGGAATGGGGACCTTTTATGAATGAAGATTAAAGGAGTTTACCTTATTTAGATTAAGAAAATGGAGATTGACAGGGGATATGATTACTTTTTTCAAATGAATATATGGCATGAGTGTCAAGAGTGGAACAAAGCTTAGCATCCACTTGATTTGTCAACAGGGGCAAATTAGCTCTCTGTTGCTTGGTCGCCTTTACCCACTAATACAACACTTAGGCATTAGTTTCAAACACAGTTAACCCTTTCTTGTACCAGCTAATCAGAGAAACTGTGGCATACAATATTATAGAACCATAGAATAGAAGGACTGGAAGGGACCTGTAAGATCATCAAGTCTGGTCCCCTGCCATGGGCAGGAGGTTATTAGGCTCAAATGAACTCAACAAGGTGCTTGTCCAGCCTCTTCTTGAACACCTCCAGGGATGGTGACTATACCACCTCTGCCGGGAGTCTGTTCCAGATTCTAGATACCCTTACGGAAAAGAAGTTTGTCCTTATTTGTAGCCTAAAATTTTCCTCAATTAACTTATTATTATAACATGTCAATAATAATGTTTAAAATTATCATATTTAAATCAGAAATATTACAATAAAAGCACAGTCTGTTATACTATGCCGAACATTTTTATTGCCCCATGCTGTGGGGGTGGGAAGAAGGAAGGTCATTTCTGGCAGTGGAGATTTCAAGTGTATGCCTGAAGCTGACACTGGAGCTCACTTGAAGTCTACAGGCACAGGCATTTGATAGCAAGTAGTTTCTGCAATAAAGGCTGCCCAAAGGCATTCATGGTAAGTCTGGGTAAAACTGGAAAACCCCAAGGCCTGCCTTATTTTTGGAGCACAGTGCTGAGGCAGGTCTACAAAATGGGGGCTAGTGCTTGATGGCCCCCTGTAACAGGTTGCTCTCCCCAGCAGTATTTTAGTGGCCTATGGGGGGCACCCTTGAAGTCCCTTAATGTTTCACTTTCGTCTTGTATCCCGCCTTTACTCATCTGCCACATCTTGATGTAAATATTATTTAGATGTTCTTACAAGTGATAGACTGCCTATTGTACTTCTATGTTGGGGTTATCAGCCACACCACGGGCCTTGCCCCCCATCTTTTTCTAGCTAGGCCTACCAGTCTAAACCCACCAGGTAGGGTTTGACTCTGAGGCTCTAGTTCCTTAATCTTCTCTGGGCCCATGGCCCTCCTTTTTGCTTTCAGTGTGGAGACAGGCCTTCTGGCCCCCTTTCACCCTGCACCCCCTGGACGCCAAGTTGTTGGGTCTTCTGCCCCCTCAAGCTTGGCCCTTTCTTATAGCTCGGGCTACTAGCCAGGATCCCCCCCACTGGTTCCCAGCTTCTAAGTCCTGCAGCCAGCTCTGGGCTACTGGCCCTATATAGCTGCACTCACTAGTGCACTAGGCCATTTGGCCTTTTATGACTGCACCCCAAGGCACTGATGAGGCCTCCTCCTCCCCTACAGCCTCGACCACAAACCACTGATCTGTCAGTCAAAATATAAAAAGTAAGTCCATGGGCTATAACCACAAAAAAAGAATTAAAAAATAAAATAAAAAATTAAAGAAGGCAGTATGCTGGCTTGTGTTTTTTTATGGCTCTGCGCTCCTGCTTCCCACCATCGGTTTCTTGTGGGGCTGCCACAGCTTGTCTGGGAGTCATCAGGAGTTCCCCCTACAGCAGCTGGACAGGCAGCCAAGCATCTTCATGGAGCTATTATGCACAAACTCCTTCTCCCCCTGGCTGCTGCCCCAGAACTGCCACTAAGCCCAGGGTTTTTGTAGTTCTGGCCTGTCCCCTTCCAGTCACCTGACTAGCCAGCAAGGCTCAACTTTTAACCCCTACCTTGCCAGCAGGCTGTGCCCAGAAAGTTCTGGTCTTAAAGGGACCGGCCTGCTTTCTGGTAACAGGGCTAGGGTTCCCTGTTACACCCCCAATGACAAGGTCCAGTCCTACATGGCTGTCCCTGGATCTTTGGGGATGTCCCATGGTCCTTGTTGGTCACTGCTATTGTCTAGCAGCCCCTTGTGGCCAACCTGACCCAGAGACCATCACAAGAGGTGGAAGATAAGCAAAGAGCTGGAGCTGACAATGGATTTTCAGCACTGGGTCCTACCACAAGACAACAGATACAATGGTTTGGGACAGCTATAAGGGGATAGATACAGAGGGGCAGGGCTGGCCATAGAGGGCTGCCAGCAAGGGCTTCTTTTATTTTCACACCCCCTGGGAGTTAAATTAACAGTCTCTACTTTCAGGTCTCAAAAATGTCATCCTTCTGTAGGTTCAGCCCTAGGCTGAGCACCTGTCAGGGGATGACATAAGTTCAAGGCTCTCTCCTTTATTCATGGAAGAGGTGGCTGCTCAGTTCTCAACAGCCAAGTTGCTGGCTGGACTGGAAAGCCACACCTACTGCTCCATGCAAGCATAACTCAGCCCAGCTCTCTAACAAAGGAACATCTAGAACAGCTTCAATACAACCCTAGCCCTACCAACTACTTCTCCAACTCTAGCCTGCAAGTGCCTTCTAAGGCAAAACACTGACCCTTACTTTGTGAGCCTGAGCTGTATCCCTAACTGTAGACCAAAAGCTGATGAACCCTACCAGCCACGATCCTAAGACTAGGCTGTGGTTTCATACCAGTGCCACCTCTAGACCCAAACTGGCTGGAGTGGCTTTTAAACTTTTTTTCCGCTGGGAAATAAAACCGTGTAGTTCTACAGAGAGAAATCCTGGGTTCAGGGAGCACAGGCCCTTGACTGTCAGCCTTCTAGAGGCTCACTGAGTTTAGGGCTCTCCTCCCTGGTGCCTTGCCAGGGTGAGGTTCTGGCCCAGCCCAGCTGAGCTTGGCTCCATGGCCAGCCATACCAGATTTTTACTTGCTCCCCCAAGCAGAGTGGTACCTGGCTCCCAAACCTGCCCAACCACTTCTGTGGCAGCAGGGCACAAAGTTGAAAGCCTTAGCTCTCAACCCTAAGCCCCAAAGGCTCTTCTCCCTGGTGCCTTGCAGCAATGGCAGGGAAGGATGAAAAGCAAAGTAGGTTCATATTGGCTATCAGGAAAAACTTCTCTTAAAACAGTGAGGCAGCGAAACAGACTGTCTAGGGAAGTTGTGGACGCTCCACTGTTGGAGGTGTTCAAAGAAAGATTGGACAAGCATTGGTCAGGGATGATCTAGGACAGGGCTGTCCAACTTCTAAGTGGCTGGGGACAGCACCAGGACTAGCTATGGGCCTCTGGTCACATGCTGCACTGTGCAGTCATGCCCTCCTCCACCCACTGCATGGCTCTTCCCCTTCCTCACTGCTTCACTGCACACTGGCCCCCAACACATGCACATGCTGCACTGTGTGCCTGTGGCTCACCCACAGTTCACCCTGGCAATGCCATGCAGTACTGCACTTCAGCAAAGGCAGAGGAGGGAGGGGGATCCCAGAGACTCTAGCTGCTGGTGCAGAAGACCAGGGGCCAAAACTTAGCTCCTCATGAGCTGCAAGTGGCCGTTGGGCCACCAGTTGAATAGCTGTGATCTAGGAGTAGCTCTACGGGAGTGCTCTGTAAAGAACAACTGTTAAAGCAAGCACTTGAGCTCTCCCCATGCACACCCCTAACCCTACAGCTCTGAGAAATAATGAGAAGAGCTCTGCAGCCTAAAACAGGTGGCTATCAGGAGAGGACCCTGCTCAGCAGTTCGAGAATGAAGCAGAGCTAGTTTAGTATATAGGATCAAAGAAAGCAAGGCCGGAAGCCAACTGGCAAGGTCCTCTAGTTATGAAACGAAGAGTATCTAGTTATGAAGCTGATCTATGAAAGAAGACAAAAGCAGCTGGCATCGGTTTATGGAGGATATTGGAGGAGGTGTGGCTACCTGGTTAGAGTGTTTGGTGCTTGGAGTTCTGCTTATTGCAGAGAGAGAGAGATGGAGTTATGCTTGCTGCCCCCAGAGAGAGAAAGTCTGCGTGTGTGTGTCCCCCCAGAGAGAGAGTGTGTGCACATGTATATGGTGCATGGAGGAGTGTTAGTTGTACCCGTGTTGGTCTAAGGACACAGGCAGACAAGGTTCTTTGGGTAGATGCGATATCTTTTATTAGATATAGAACTAGATATTATTAGATATTAGAACTAAATAATTGGAGCAATGGTTCTTTTCAAGCTTTCAGGCGCAAATGCCCTTTTTCAGGCATAGGGAGGGTCATTTTGTATACTGGCTTCTATGCTACCCAGAACACAAAACAGCACCAGATTCTCCCTGTGCCTGAAGAAAGGTGTTTGTGCCTGAAAGCTTGCAAAGAACATTTTTTCCAATTTTTCAGTTGGCCTAATAAAAGATTTCCTATCTACCCAAAGAACCTGCTCTGCGGATGGTGCGTGGACCCCCAGCACGCGTACAGCATTTCCTGTTTCTTTGCTCTCGTGGTTAAGCGGGGCCTGCAAAGAATTTTCTCCCCCTCCTCCTGCAACACCTGTCCGGAGGCATTGGGCGCTGGCTGCAGCCACAGCCAAGGACTTTGTGGGCTGTTCCAACGCTCCTGCTGGGACTTAAAGCCGGGGGACTCCTGGCTACAGGGTCTTGCCCTCTGCTCAGCACAAAGCAGATGCCCATATTGTGGGTCAGGAAGGAATTTTACCCTCGAAGCACATTCGTTTGGCCTGGGGGGCAGGAGTTGCCTGCTCTGTAGCAAGGGGCAGGTTTGTTCCTGGCTTTCTCCGGTGCATTTTAACATCCTCTGCAGCAAGGGGACGTTGGCCACAGAAGCCCTGGGTCTTTTGCCTTGCCCTCGGGAGACAGAGGGGTGACCATGTCTAGGACCAGGTGGGGGCAAAACGAGGGCGGAGCCCCGAGAGCGTAGCAACCACCCGGGCGGTCTGCGGGCCACATCTTTTATTGGCCGACCGCGCAGGGCGGGTAAAGCTAGACGAACCGCGGGGTAAAGCCCCACACCAGCCGCAATGGCGGGGAAGGCGTCCTATGGCGGCGAAGGCTTCCTCCCTCCCTCCCCTTTAACTGGGGCACGTGACGCCGAGGCAGCCCAGACGCCGCAACCGCCGCAGGCGCGCGGGAAGCCGCGCCCCGCCCCCATTGGCCGCAGCCACGAAACAACAACAAGGCGCGCTAAATTCGACCAAGCGGGGCGGCCCCACTCCCCTCCGCGGAACCCGCCTCCTGCCTCCGGCGGCCCAATCAGCACGCGCCGGGCGTGGAGGGGGCGGAGGTGGGGCCAGGGCCCGGCTCGTCCGCGGGCTGCCTCCGAGCGGTTTCGAATTCTGTGCGCCGAGAAGCGAGCCAGCCAAAGGCGGGGGACGGGGGGG